AGGAGCAGCTGGTGAGCTTGAACCAACCTTGCAGTTCAAACAATTTTGCAGTCTGAATCATTAGCCCACAGCACCACACCAAGACGCAATTTCAGCACAACAGCTGAAATTGCAAACAGCACCATTGTCTTCAAACCAATGCTAATTAACATTCCCAGTTTGTAACTTCTCAGCATAGTAGTTATGACATGGGGCTGTAAACCACCAGGTCAGCATTTCAAAACTAACAGCTGTTTCACAGTAGAAAGATGAGGCTTTCTATTCCGGTAAAGATTTACAGCCTCAGAAACACTGTACAGAGATACTTTGAGTCAGAACTGACTCCATGGCACATATCATCATGGATTAAATGTAATCCCCTGAAAATGTGTCAACTTGGCTAGGTACCAATTCACAGTATTGTGTGGCCATCCTCCCTTTGTTGTTTTCACTCTTAACCTCTATGAGGCAGGATCAGTGTGGAGGATGTTTTGAGTCACAAGCTTACAAGGCTTGACTCAAGTTCCACACTGAACTAACATCTTAGATGAGACCAAAGCACCAAGCAGAGTAGTGGACCTCACTGCCAAGAAAGGTGTTGTACAGCATGAACTTTGCACCTGGGTCCCTGCACGGAGAACCTTCTAGATCCAGGGGTAGAACACCGCCAAGACACAGATCTTCAAGAAATGCCCCACTCACAGGTATTCAAAAGGAGACAGAAAAGGGCTAGAAATGCAAAGGAGGGAAGGGATTCAGAACCCCAGAGAAACTGATGCCAGAGATGGAACAGCTAAGGCCTTTAGACCCAGAGAGGTAGGAGAGGGGCTGGGCGGGGTGCTTGCAGGGTATACATTTTGGTTGATGGATGATGCATGGAGGGGATTGTAACCAGGGCAAGGGGATCAATGTAAAGCTAATGTTCTCCCATATCACATAATTCACAATAAAGCATTTTATATATGAAAAAAGACAGAAAGCTTTCCCTACAGACCTGAATTCAGATTCTGTTGTTGTTGTTAAGTGCCATCGAGTCGGGTCCGACCCATAGCGACCCTGTACAGGGTTTCCGAGGGTGTAAATCTTTACGGGAGTAGAAAGCCTCATCTTTCTCCCGCGGAGCGGCTGGTAGTTTCGAACCGCTGACCTTAGGGTCGCAGCCCGATTCGTAACCACTACGCTACCAGAATTCAGATTCTAAGCCTCCTAAAATTTGAGAACATATTTGATTAACCTGTGTACTTGTGGTTTTTCTGTGATAGCACTCGTTAACTAAAGCCAGCAAACCATTGCCCTATAAGTTCTCCTATCATAAATTAGAGGATAAGCAATGGACTACTAACCACAAGGCTGCCAGTTCAAACCCACCAGCCATTCATCAAAAACCCTCTAAAAGGCTGCTGAGTCAGAACCGACTTGAAGGCACTGACATCATAAATGACTGTTTTCCACTCATTTCCATAGCATTATTCAAGAGAGCAGCTATTGTTTTTAAATGTTAAGTGATAAAAAATACAAGTATCAGTACTATACTAAGGGTATCCAGGTATACTGTCCACAAATTTGAAACAAAATTGGTAAGACTACATGCAAAGAAAGCAGAGATGGTGCACTAAGTTGACTTAACAGGACGCCGCCTGAGTGATTAAATGCCTACAGGAAACCACACTGCAGCATCCCTGCCACCTATCAACGGCATGGATTCCATCTTTCAGTTTCTGTAACTATAGCCATTTCTCCCAATACCCTCCCAGACATGAGGTGCAAGGTGGTCTGATCAGACTTCAATCCACTTCAGATGTTTTGTAGAAATGATATTGGGAGCAATCTAGTAGAGTGTATTATTCTAGATGTTTTTTGTTTTTCAGTAAACGTTGTATAAACTTATTTCAAGGACGATGGTGGAAAGTACCAAGGAGGTTTCGAGAAAAATGTTTTCCTCTTAACTTCTTGTTGAGTGCTGTCCAAGTAGACTGACAAGGCAAATATTCATTATAGATTGTAACTCACTTGTTGCTTTGGTTTTGGAGGATTCCCTTAAGAAAAAAGAAATTTGTTAATTATAAAGAACACAGAACAGCAACAGTATACTGAGGCAAATATCACTTAGCGAATGTAAAAGCTTAGGATCTTTCTTAACTTAATCTCTCAATATGTTAATTTAACAGTGACAATATCTTCACAGCAACACACAAGCCAAATCTGTCTTGGAAGTAGTATGAGTAGAATGTTCCTTGAAAGGGAAGATGCAATATTTTTCACAACCTTTGGCCATGTGATCAGGAGGCAGTGACATCACACTTGAAGTAGTTGTAGTTGTGCCATAGTCAGTTCCGACTCATAGAGACCCTGTAAACGGTTTCTAAGGAGACTGCTGGGTTTGAACCGCCGACTTTTTGGCATGCAGTCAGTCCAGTGCTTATCTGACATCGCCACACCAGGACTCCTGGTAAAGTAGAGAGTTCAGGAAAAAGCATAAGACCTTCAACAAGATGGGTTGGCTTCAATAGGTTCAAACTTAATGACTGAGATGTCACAGGACTGGGCACGGTTTCACTCTGTTGTGCACAGGGTCACTGTGGGTTGGAAGTAACTTAACAGCACCTAAGGACAGCAGAATTTCCACACCTAATCTTCTTTTTGTATTCCTGAGATATTAATGGCATAATTAACTAGACAACATCGAGTGCTTATAATGTATCAAAAATCATTCTAATACATACATGGTAAATCTTAACCATACAACAAAAGAATACTACTACTCACTTGTTTTATAGTTGAGAAATCTAAGGCTTAGGCTTCAAGTGTAATTAACTTGCCTGACATCACAAATTAAGGAATTACTGAGGTCACAATTTTAAGTCCAGGAATCCATACCTCACTGTATTTTAACTTTCCAAAATGCTAAAACTCTTAGAATCACCCCAATGCTTTATTATTACACAAATAACTTTCAGCATTTTTTTTAGTTCCTATTCCTAGATTTACAGCAAAACATATCAAAAACAGGAAACTTCATACTAATTTGTAGTATTTTTTTTTTTAAATACAAACTTCCATCATGTTAACATACTCTGTTCTCAATCCTTAGATATTATCTTTTGAGGCATTTGGAAATGTGAGTCTTAAGATTAGTTACAAAGCAAAATTAATTGTAATCATCAATGTTATGAATTTAAAAATACTTGCTTTTAAGAAAATATGCATGCCTCAGTTACCAAAGTACTACTGACCATAAATGGGTGCTCATATGGTGCTATAGGATAAGCACTAGACTGCTAACCACAAGGTCAGTGGTTCGAACTCACCAGCCCCTTCTCAGAAACCCTATAAAGGGTCACTATGAGTCAGATTCAACTCAATGGCATGTAACAAAATATTAACAGAAATATGTTCCTTCACAGTATTCCACCTATCTGGAACACTCCACAGAGCTCAATGTGTAGCTTGTATTCAAATACTGGTTGTTATGTGCCGTCGAGTCAGTTCCGACCCATAGTGACCGTGAACAGGGTTTCCGAAGCTGTAAATCTTTAAGGGAGCAGAAAGCCTCATCTTTCTCCCGCAGAGCAGCTGTTAGTTTCGAACTGGTGACCTTGCAGTTTGCAGCCCGATTCGTAAACACTATGCTACCAGAACTCCTTATACTGGTTAGACAGCCTGAATTAGAGCAAACAAATTATTTGGCCTATATGTTTACATTCAAACACTTTCAAATTATCAGAAAACAAGACCAAAAAGTTATTTGGTGATTTGAGGTAGAAAAATATAAAGTGACAAATGCAGACTTACGTAGTAGCCAAGTGGAGTCATTAATACAATTGAAGCACGGTGTACTGGCTTTTCATTGTTAAGTCATTTAAAGACAGAGCAAAAATTATAGGTCTGTTAATGTTAATCAAAGTTTTATTCAAGATATAATATTAAAGAAAAATTAAATTTAAACAAAGGAAAAACTTCCCAGTAATTCACCCTACAGCAAAAGATGGAACTGAGTACCATTTATGAGGCACAGATAAATTCCACCTTTACATTTCAAAGTAAAGCTTTATTAAAGACTTCTCTTGAGAGCCACTGCTAATAAGGCTACGTTGAGTTGTGTCCAGAAACTTTGACGGTACACCATGTACATTCCTAAGGCTCACTCCATGATGACCACTTCCTATGAGCACCTAGGATGCTGAAAGTTTGATTATTATCACCCTATGTGTTTACCTATCATCATTTAAAAAAATAATAATTAGATCCTCATTTTACTTTATAATTCCCTCAAATTATACTTTAATATTTAACATGGTACTTTCAAAAATATCTATTAAAAGCAACCATTTTTAATTTCCCACCCATGCAATCCACAGTTGATAACAAATGTTAACAACTGTACTTCAAAATAAAATGTAGCTTTTTCCTAAAAACTATTTGCTACATTCCATAATTCTGATTTTAAAAATCTAAGGCATTTTATATCCCTCCCTGCCACAAAAAAAAAAAAAAAAACCCCAAAAAAAAATCTTAGAATGATTCAGTCCTTGGAAAATCTTAATGGCAGTCACTCAATGAAGAAGTCAATCATTCCTGGAGTCACACTGAAAAACTACAATGAGCACTGATCAAGTTGTTTTGTTGGTCGTTATTGCTTTACTGGGCACTATCTGAATTTAAGACAAAAGAACATCTGCTAAATCTTAAATATTATCAACTTTATACAAAAGACAGACTCATAGAGGCTAACAAACTGATGTCTCAACTCACCCATGGTTCAGGTCAGGCTTTTTAGAGGCTAGTCAATAATCGTTTTGCTCTAAAATGAATGCCTCTACTTTTCAGAGTGTTCCCATTTTAACAGGAAACTTGAGCAGCTCAATAGTTTTTCTATAAAAACCACTTTTGTTAATAAACCAAAAGTGTAAAAAGGAAACCAATAAAAGACATATTTTCACAGTTAACAATAAATAAAAGTGCAATAAGTATTCAAGTAGGACGTGTAGTTTAAAAAAACTACATGGAGTGTTTGGGGTAGGTCATCTTTTAAATGCTCTCCGAGGGTCCCTGCCATTATTTATTGTAGTCACAACTGTATGGTTATCAGCTGTTCCTGGTAGCTGTGGATTTATAGGTCCTCGGCCATTACTTCTACCACCATAGGAAAACTGATATCCCCTGGATTCTGAGTTGGTTTGAACACCATTTCCTGAAAAAGAATACAAAAATCCATCATTTTTCAGATACCAGTCTATGGAAGCACTTCTATTTGAAGTCCCAATACATGGTATTGTTGTTAAGTGCTGTCAAGTAGATTCCAAATCAGGGTTTCCAAGGAGTGGCTGGTGAGTTTGAACCACCAATCTTACAGTTCAAACTGACCTGCAGACCAGCACATTAACCCATAGCACCATACCAGGACTCCATACATGTTAGTAACACGATAATATTAGGAACAACAAACACTTGTAGTTTTAAGTTTCTAGGGGGTAAAAAAATCTCAGTGTGGGTTCTAAATTTTCCCAAATGATGACTACACTAGATGATTATATTTTCATGTAGTATTAACAGAGAAAGGAAAAAAGGTCAACTTAGCCAACAACAACAACAAATAGCATAGGTATCCACTGTCTACACTGGAAAGGGGGGAAAAGAGGGATAAAATAGATAATGAGTACTAGTAATTGGTTCAAATATGGTTACTATTGTTTGAAAATGATGGCAAAGTTACTCAAGTGATTGATCAGTAAGGTTGTCAATGTGACATTTAAAGAGATGGGTGGCAGCTATAAGTACATGAAAACTTAGGACAAGCTATTAGTCTAAAGATAAAAAAAGTCTTTCAGTGCAACTATACCATCCAAAGAACCTACTCGACGGCACTTAACAACAACAACAACACCATCCAAAATATAATGTCTATTATAAGCAATCAAAGGATTACATACATTTTATAAAAAATGTTTTCCCAAATTATGACTAAGCATGACACTTTTTCACATGTATTACCAAAACTTAACTTTTAAATTATTAATGTTCACTACTGTGTTCTCAGAACTGGCTCTCATGTTTAAATATAGAATATACTCAATAATTTAACATAAGCATGTATCTGCTTCTAGGAGTTGTTTGGGCATTCTATGTTTATTGGTAGTTCCCATTCAGGACCAGTACACTTTATGCCTTGAAATATTTTCCCCTTAAAACTTTCTTAAGATTTGTTGTGAAGTGCTATCAAGTCAGTTCTAACTCACAGCAACCCTGTATGGAGCTTCGGAAGCACGGATTGTCAGTCTGAACTGCTAACTGTGTGGTTCAAACCAACCTTGTGAGTCTTAAGATACCGGATTAAAATATTCCAAAAAAATCTTACCCAAGGGTCCAAATGTACCTATATCCATATTACTATTCACAGAATTATTCTTCTGCTCACTGTACACCTAAAAAACAAAATTTTAAGTTAAAAAGATTTGTCTAAGTCCACTCAATACTCAGCAATATTTCCCAAACCTTTCACAGGTACTATTATCACCTACTGCATTTCCTGGCATTACTTCCCACTCATCAAAGTACTAAATGGCTTACTATATGTTTCTTGTTGTTGTGTGGAGTCAGTTCTGACTCATAGCGACCCTGTATAGGGTTTCCGAGGCTGTAAATCTTTACGGGAGCAGAAAGTCTCATCTATCTCCTGCGGAACAGCTGGTAGTTTCAAACTGCTGACCTTGCGGTTCGCAGCCCAATTCGTAACCACTACGCTACCAGAGCTCCTTAGTATATGATAATTCAGCTGCATAGACCACAACATACATACAGCCAAAATGCCTTAAACAAAGAATGTTTTTTTTATTGTTTTTATTACACTCTGAGTATGTTTAACAATCTAGTCATAAAAATTAGAACACAGTCAAAAGTACCCTAATCATACAAATATGTGCTATAAATTTGGATTAATTACCCCTTTGTTCTGCTGTCCTCGATAATCTGGACTGGGTTCACTGAAATTTGGCACTTCTGAATACACCATACAAAATCTGAAAACAGATAACAAGTTAAACAATCAATTCTTCCTTTATAGAATGAACATAATTTACAGAAATAATGTAGGTATCAATGAACTAACTAAAAAAGAATATGCTGTTTTCAATTACAACTAAAAATTCCTGTGCTTATCTTCCATAAAAACATCAAATATTGAATCACCTAATTGATGCATAACATTCTACTGTGTATTTTAATTCTTCTCCTGAACTGCAAAATATAAATGTCAAAGATTAAGGACATAGAAACACATCTTTGTCCTGTTTTTCCACACAAGTTGATGTTTAGGCCATGTTGAGGGTTCCAGAGTGGTGTTTCCAGAAGTGGTAATGGATTTGCACTGATCCATCCACACACTCTCAGCCAGTCCCTCTTATGACCAATCACTGTGAATCTGCAAAGATAATCATTCAAGGTTAACAATGAATTTTGCTGCCATGAATTAATATAGCTGGCTATCAACTCCAGGTTTTTAAGTTGACTATATGGTGTTTACCAACTTCTTAGCTCCTCACCCCCAAAAGAAAAATGAAAACAAGTTTTAGTATATCCTAAACTGATCCAGACAAAGAGCAGTCATTTGGAATGGAAAAACCTCCAGTGGGTCTTCTCTTAATTGCTGATTCATAAACACCTCTCCGTATGTAAAGGTTGGAACAGCATCCTGAACTTTTCTGTAATACTGCTGCTGAGACAACTCTTAACGCCTTACCTCTAAGGATACTACTCTAACCACAAGCATCTGAGCCCTAATTTTCCCCCTACAGGAGATAAGGTGTTACCAATTTCTGATCTTTAAAAGCTGGCAAGATTACTGCTTTCCTTTCATTAATACCATGTTCTCCAATGTCCCTTAACCATCCGTGAAGCTTTTTCTTTTTGGGTGTCATTCATGGCTCCTCTCTGTAAATATCCTCCAAAATATGATGGGCACCAGGGAAGATGTCTGAGCATTAACCAAACAGCATGGACAACTGATGTGGCTCACTGCCTTTACCACACTTTCGAGTACAACCCAAATATCTAAGCTTGCATGGAGGCTGAATTACCTTTACACCCCTAGAGAGGATGGTTCCTCCAGGGCAGGGTGAAGATCAATACCAGGGTAGTAGTGTACGGAAGCTCGCATTGCGGCTGCCTGCACCATACCTAGACTGTGGATAAATAGAGGACTTCAATTTTCATAGCTGCAAGTCCTTTTAACACAAGTACGCATTCACTCATAAATAGAAAAAAAGTGAAAATTTAATCTTATGACCTGAAACCCAAACTAGCTTCCTATATGATGAATCACTAGAAGGGAGTACCTAATTTAAATAGTACTCTTGACCCCTGGAAAATGTCTGTTCCTAAAAAGTCCTCAGAAATGGTCACACTGGTGCTAGTTTTAAGTGCAGTTTCTTACTCCTCTTTGCCAGGAAAAACCGACAGCCTCAAACACAAAAAGCAGTATTGATAGCTGTTAAACTACTACAAACATGCAAAGTAATTTTTTAGTTTAACAGTCAAAAGGCATTCTGTTTATCAGTCAAAAAAAAAAAAGTCAAGGAAGATGTATAGCTTATACCTACCAGTTTTCCTGTAGATATATGTAATTTAGTTATATGAAATACATTTTAATACTTACTCCCCAATTTTCTGAAGTTCACCACCCCTTCCAGTATAAAGTGTGAGACATCCTTTCCACATGGATGCATACCTACAAAGAGATACTATTTGTTTTAGAAATATGTATGTCACCTTTTATTTATATCAAGTCAACCCTTGACTTGTTAAGTGCCATCAAATCGCTTCCAACCCTGCATAGGATTTCTGAGGAGCCCTTGGTGAGCCTGAACCGCTGGCCTTGCAGTTCAAACAGCTTTGCAGTCTGGCGCATTAACCCACAGCGCCACACCAGGACTCCGACTTATACAGTATTTATTTTGCTACTAATAAGTTAAAACAAAAAAAATTCCACGGACAATTTTGATGCAATTATCTAAATTATAATTGACCCTCAGAAAATTATACAAATGACTTTTTGCAAAGTCAGCATTGTTATATCCCTGAAAGTTCACATCTTTAGTCACTTAACAAAGAACTTTTAAGTGCAGAAATTTAAGCAATTATCTCCAGCCAAAATTGTAAAATTGGTTCAGATTTGGTCTCCAATGGTTCTTCATACAACTACTATGGTAACTTCATAATCTAAGAATGATAAATTTTAACTAAATATTGCTTTACCAAATATAGTGATAATTTATCTCTTTAAAAAGACTAATAAAAATTCGCTATTTCCGTATTATAAAGTTCTCATCATCTTAATAAGGGTCAGTTATTAGAATCCATATACCACCCTTACACAAAGAGTGACTTAGAGTACATTAATGTTTCACACCTTAAGTAAAACGTCAGTCTGCCTGTCTTCAAAAGCTACTTTTAGCTTTAACCAGAATTTAAGGGCCTTACAATGGGCCAGATTCCAAGTTGGGTGTTATTATAGTAAGGTATAATTATTTCCATTTCATAGAAGAGGACGTTGAAGGTATGAGGTGTGTTAATTTAAGGTCACAATGAAGTCAGTCAGTAGTAGTTTTGAATTTTCCTTTAAACTGTTCTCCTTGGAGCTGTACTCCTTAAAATCCTATAAATACAATAGCTACTGAATTTTTTCCCTAAATTTCCTTGACTACAGAATATGCAATATTTGATACAATATATTGTTGGCAATTTATAAAGTACTTTTAATCACTGAAGGATACTTTGGGGAACCAAAAATCTTTATGCTAATCCACACCACACCCTTCCAGATAATTTTTCCTTTGAGTAAATTAAAGATGTGGAAGTTAAATCAAGCAGTGTCATGATGAGTCAGTGTAAGAGAATGAAAGGTCCAAGTTCTGACTCTCACTTCCTGCTTTGTTGATACTCTACATCACTTCCTGAAGATGTTGTAAGACCTCTCACACAGTTTCAAAGGGCTCTAAGCTCCTACATTCAGTGTTCCCACACTTCTCTGAGATATATTATGCTAACATCAATTTCCATCCCCTTTCCCTATCTATAACCCATTAATAATTATAATTCTATGGATCACAATTTCTATTTTTCAGACCCTCCTTTTGGCCTTTTATCTGCCTGAGATAAAGATATGGTAAATTCTTTACAGCCAGTCTAATTGCCAATTAAAATAAAGTCACCAGTAGGCCAACTGATTCTTCTGGATGAAGACAGTTCTGCCAAAAATTTTCTGTCACTTTGGTCTAAACACTGAACTTACAACAGATGGCACAGAATTCATGTTCTAGAATGTGCCTTCTAGATATTAAATAATTTCCTTAACTTTACATTGTTAAGTGCCGACTTACAGTGGTCCTGTATAAGGTATCCAAGGAGTGGCTGGTGGTTTAAACCACTTATCTTGTAATTATCCAACAGTGCCACACAAATTATTTGACATACCACAGAAACCATTATCTAGAATGTGCCTTCTATATATTGCTCTTCAGTTTTACATATAGTACAAATTATTCGGCATGCCATAGAAACTCCTAAAGTTCTCCCAACTGCAATTTTATGTCCACATCGTCAAAATAACATATGTATAAGTGAAATGCTGACGGTATTAAAGAGGGAAAAGTTTAAGCTAAGAGTTTTAAGTATTTTAACTAAGTTAAATAAGTTACCTAAAAGATCAAATGCTGGCTATCAATTCACTAAAAAGCCTCATCAACGATTCCCATAATAATACGAGATGGCTTCAAAATGTTCGTGGAAACATTGAATTAAATGAAGTTTTTTTCCACCCACGAACTTTTTTTTTTTTAATTCCTTATATATTAAACCTGTAAACAGTGTGTGTGTATGTTGACGGGAGGGAGGCTGTCCCTCGCAAGAGGCAGTTTTAACAATCAGGCTACACGCAGTAGGGGCTTAAATCCCCTTGGAGGGGTGCACCAAAATGATGTGGCCCGGGAAGTCAGCCAATCCATTCCGCAGACTGTTACTTAGCACTCTCTTCCCCACCTACCCACTAGAATGCACACCTACCCTCTGGTCAATCGAATAATATCCCCTGGCTGGATGAGACTTCCAATCTCATCCCACACGGAAATGGTGATGCTGCCCGTTTTATCTGCTACTTTGCACGATCTCACTTCATGGCCGTCTTTGGTTTTGGTCACGCGTCCTGTGAGGATGTAAAAATCAAGAAGAGGGAGCGCATTAGACAGCCAGGACTTCCAGAAAGGCTGAATCCTCCGAGAGGACTTCATTGCCAGCTGGAGGGTGGGAAGGGGCTCGGCCAATGCCGGCTTCCGGCCGCAGGTGGGACCGAGCCCGGGCGGGGGCCACGTGGGCGGGGGAGGGGAGGGCCCGGCTCGCGCAGGCTGCGCCCTCCTGCCCCGGGGCGCACAGGGCGAGGAGGGGGCGGACCGCGGGCCCACTTACCTATCTCCAGGACTATAAAGACGATATTTAAGTTTTTCAGCCCGGGCTTAATATCTTTTATAAAAAGAGGCGGGTCGCTGAACCCGTTCATACTGAGGCAGATGCGGCTATAGCTGAGAGCGGGACCAGGCTTCCCACCCTCCCGGGCAGGAGGCGACGGAAGGGGAGAGCTTGGGCGGGGTAGCGAGGGACCGGGGAAACCAGCCCAGGCGAAGCTGAGCCTTAAAAAAAGGAGAGGGTGGAGGGGCAGAAAACGTTCACAAGTTTAAAAGAAAAATAAGACGAGCCACAGCCCGCACATCAACCCCTCTCCCTATGGAGGAGCAAGGCAACGTGCGAACTGCCCCTTCTTTGGATAAAAATAAGAAAAAAAAAAAAAAATGCAGCGAGGGAATGCCTCTGCCCTGGGTTCCGTTCACACACACACACACACACGGGCGCGCGCCCACTCTGTCCCAAGCTCCGGGAAGAGATAGCCTGCGACACTGGACCAGGAAAAGCGGACAAGACACCGTACAAACAGCACGCCAAACACCGACTGCCGAAGACGCACGAGCGCCGGCTAGAAACTAATGCCGCCCCGCCCCTTGTGGCGTCACCGGCGTCGGCACGCCCGCCGCCCCGCCTGCACGGCAAGAGGGAGTGGAAACAAAGGGGGCGGGAACTGCCAGCGACGCCCGCGCAGCCTCTCTCACTCAACCCCAGGGCTGTTGGCGCGGGCCCCGCCCTTCAACCTGCCAATCCTCTCTCGGTCCCGCCTCGCCCTCACTGACCCCCGACCCCCCGCCCTCGTCCGGGTCTTCGTCCTCGACCTTATTACTGTTGCTCCTGCCTTGGGTTCCTTCTCCAGGCTTCTATCGTAGACTGTCCAAACGCAGGGTTTTCTACCTTTTTCCGACAGAGTTCCTGTAGTTCTGAGGTCACGAAAGACGGTAGCTAGGTTTAGGATTCAGTTGTTGTTGTTAAGTGCCGTCGATTCTGTTCCGACAGCTGGTGAACTTCGAACAGCCGACCTTGCAGTTCAAATGGCTCTGCAGTCTGGCTCGTTAACCCACAGCAGCACACCAAGACTCCGGGAACTTTATAAAAGAGCCGTCTAGTTAGAGGGTTGGAGTCAGAGTGGCTGACAGGGAGCGAAGGAATGGTGAAGCAATCCTTGGCAACAAGGCTAGAATTTTAGTACCCGAAGAGAACTTGGAAATCAATTCAACTGCTTCACTTTGTTGTTGTTTATGTGCCTTTGAGTGGGTTCAGACCCATAGTAACCCTGCACAGCGTTTCCAAGGCTGTAAATCTTTACGGGAGCAGAAAGCCTCGTCTTTCTCCCTGGGAACTGCTGGTAGTTTTAAACTGCTGACTTTGAGATGAGCAGATTAGCAGCCCAATTCGTAACCACTACACTATCACAGTTGAGATTTAGGACCATGAGTTCATTTCCTGAAGGTCATCCAGCAAGTCCTGAGCAAGCAGGTACTCCCAATACAAATCTACAAATCGTAGCACCTGGTTTTACACTTTTCACTCTTTGTGTAAGACTCAGCTGACAGACACGCAATTAAATTCCTTTGCAAGTGTCTCACTGTGCTTCAAGGTTTCTTCTGGCAAGTTAAACCCCTTCCTCATCTTGCGTTTTTTGCACTTGCTTTTTTAAACATCCAAATGGAAAGTATTCACATCAGGGTGAGTAGGAAAGGTGAAACATAAACTTAAAAAATGAATAGCATCTTCTGAAAAGAGTTTAACTTCAGAGACAAGCCTGGGCTCAAGCTATTTACAAGCTGTGTGACCTGTAAGGCGTTTGGCTAAATTTACTAACCTTAATTTGTTGTTGTTGTTGTTGTTATGTGCCGTGGAGTTGATTCCGACTCATAGCAACTCTGCACAGGGTTTCACAGGGTTTCCGAGGCTGTAAATCTTTACGGGAGCAGAAAGCTTCATCTTTCTCCCGCAGAACACCTGGTAGTTTCGAACTGCTGACCTTGCAGTTCGCAGCCAGATTCGTAACCACTACGCTAACAGAGCTCCTTAATTTAATCATCTGAAAAATGAAATGATGCCTGATCCACAGGGGGTTAACTGGATTACAAACAAATTGTCCAACAAGTACCTTTGTTGTTAAGGAAAGTTGAGTTGGTGGGTCATAGTGACTTGTTAAGTGCCTTTGAGTCAAAGACTCAGAGACTTGTAAAGTTTTCCGAGCTTGAACTTGGTGAGCTTGAACCTCCGACCATGAGGTGCAAACTGACTTTGCAGTCCAGGGCATTAACCCACACCACCACTAGTAACTTCTTGTTATGCCGTCCAGATCCTGTATAGGGTTTCTGAGGAGCGGCTGGTAAACTTGAATTGCGGACCTTGCTGTTGTTCAAGCAGATCTTTCAGTCCAGTGCATTAATCAGCCGTGCCCGCCACACCAGGACTCAATAAAAAACTCACTGTTTCCCCCTTGCAAATTGTGAAACATTTTTATTCTTAAAAGCGATAATAGTTAAAAGCAGTGATTACATAAATCTTTTATTGACACTATATTTAATGCACATTTTACAGATTATGAAGCTCACCAGCAGCCACATGGGAGTCCTAGTGTGATGCTGTGGGTTAATGCCCTGGACTATAAAGTCGGTTTGAACCACAAGGTCGGCGGTTCAAGCTCACCAGCTGTCCCTCGGAAACCCTATACCGGGTTGTTATGGGTCAGAAACAGACTGGACAGCACTTAACAACAACAAGTAATCACATAGAGAAATGAGTCAAACTACTTTTGAATCTAGATAATCTTGGCCACACAGCTCTGATTATCTATAAAGGTAATTTTTAGACTGAAGTTGTAAATTCTGGAATTTAGAGTCAAGGACAGTCTTAAGAAATGAAATAGTAACAGCAGGATATATTTAGAGGACTTTAAAGAATCATGTAGCTAATTGTTTGTGATGGTAACAGAAATGTTGGGAAGTGTGTCAGAGAATTTGCATGTCAGAGCCTTAATTAGTCTTTGATTCTTTTAGTATTTTTAGATCAACCACCACTTTCCAAACATCTGCAAACAAGAGGCATAGATATTTAACAGCCAGAGAAAAGAGTTTCAAATTTTTTTACATTACCAGGAGAGTCAAGACATTCTTAAGGAAGCAGAAGCTTCCACTTCACGGACAGGAAAAACCTTGAGTGTCAAAGACAGTGATATAATGCTACATAGTGCTGCAAAATAACTTGATTTCAACACCAAACAAAACAAATGATGAAACAAGCCAGTTGATAGCATGACCACCATCTGACTGACCTCAGGATTTCCAAAGACTCCCAACTACGGTGCCCTTTCCACGGTTCTAAACCCTTGATTCTTTGTGGTTATTGGAAGCCTGATACTTCACTTGGATTGCCCTCAACACTGTCTTCTTGAACACAGACAAAAAGCATTCTTACAGAAGCTATGTTTAAATCAAACCTTTTTAAAAAAAAGATTTGAGGAAGCATTCAGAGAATTAACAATAGACAGGAAATCAATAGAGAATGTTGAGTAGAGTTGTGGCCAAGAGTTTGGGCAAAGAGAGTTAGCTACTCTCAAAACCCTCAGTAATTTCTCCGAAAAAAAAAAGGATATTAGGTAGTGCTTGTTCAGGCTAATAATTATATTGAAATTTTATAAAGTGGAACTGATAGCATAGTTAGTTATGAGTCTGGCTGCTAGCCGCAAGATCAGCAGTTCAAAACTATCAGCCGCTCTGTGAGAGAAAGATGAGGCTTTCTGCTCCTGTAAAGACTTACAGCCTCGGAAACCCTATACACAGTGGTTATGCGTAGGAAGCGATTCCATAGTACTTAACCTCCATCACCACCATGGTCTTTGCCAGTCCTGGTGGCCCTGTAGGATAAGCACTGGGCTGCTAACCACAAGGTTGACAGTTCAAACCCACCAGCCATTTCACAGAAAAAGATTTGACAGTTTTACAAACCCTATATAGGGTGTGGCGCTGTGGGTTAATGCACCAGACTGTAAAGCCATTTGAACTGCAAGGAGGCGGTTCAAGCTCACCAGCCACTCCTTGGAAACCCTATACAGGGTTGCTATGGGTCGGAACTGACTAGACAGCACCTAACAACAACATATAGGGTCGCTATAATGGCAATAGGTTTAGCCATTGCCATAAAGCTGAATCCTGACTCACTGCAACCCTATAAAACGCTGTACAACTGTACCATGGGGTTTCCCACGCTGTAAATCTTTATGGAAGCACATTGCCTCATCTTTCTCCCTCAGACAAACTGGCAGATTAGCAGCACCAACCTTTCAGTTAGCAGCTGAGTGCTTAGTCACTGTGCCACCAGGGCTCCTTTAAAGTGAAAATGTTGTTGTGTAGGGTTTCCTAGGAGCAGCTGATGAGTTTGAACTGCCAGTCTTGTGGTTCAAACTGACCTTGGAGTCCTGTGCATTATCCTGCAGCACTACACCAGGACTCCAATGCAGAAGCAGACACTTAAAAAACCAAACTTCAAGAAAGCAGACAGTGGTGCTCAAAGGAATAGCCCAGCCTTCCCTTCCCCCACAGCACAGACGTCATCAAAGGCATGTCTGACTTCTTCCTTCCTAATTCAGCAGTTCTCAGAAAGGAAATGGCAACTCAGTGCTTTCTCAATAACCAAAAGTAGAGGCAGCCTTCAAAAACAAAATGGTGTGGTCAGTACATGAACTTTTTAACCCAGACTCCTTGGTTTCAGGTATTCCAAATCACTCCACAAATGTGGTTGTATAAGAAAAAGAGAAAGCGGTGGCAAGCAAAACAACTATTGCCACCCACATCATCTCTCCTAACATTACCATTCAGTGAAACAACCAAAGATTACAGTCAAAACTGAGTATACTTGACCAATGCAATTTTGTTGTTGTTAAGTGCCGTCGAGTCGGTTCCGACCCATAGCGACCCTGTACAGGGTTTCCGAGGCTGTAAATCTTTACGGGAGCAGAATGCCTCATCTTTCTCCCGCGGAACAGCTAGTAGTTTCGAACTGCTGACCTTGAGGTTCGCAGCCCGATTCGTAACCGTTACGCTAGGTTATAATTATATTACTGTTTTTGTTTTTTAGTATACTGTA